CCCCAGCCGGGGGGGGGCTGAGGTGGTTGTGAAATCACGGTTTTGAAGTATGTAAAGAACACACTCAAAGACAATGTTTTTAAGCTTTTCTTTTTGGTTGCAAAAAATCCCTGATAAAAAAGACCCTGAGATTTTTTTTTTGGCGCTTCATTTGGACTACCGGTAACGGTGATGTGATAATGAATTTTACTAAAAGTTTTGTTTCTGGCCATCTAGAGGTACTATTTCCTCACATTTTCGCTCCTCAGCTCCAACCATGGTGAGTCTGAGGTAGGTGCCGACTCACAAAATGTCCCCCCCCCCTCAACCTTACAAAACAGATCTGCGCCCTTCTGGGTATGACATTAAGCTGCATCAAGTCGGCACCTGACTCGGAGTATGTCTTGTGACTGCTGAGGAGAGGGGGCATAAATTTGTTTTAGAATGTGATCTGGTTTTTCATGCCCTTTTTTCGTGATTATGACTATTTTAGATAAGATTTTTTTTTTTGAGGAAAAAAAAAAGGAAAATATATTCAAATTTAAGTATGAAAGTGTAATTCCCGGCCATCTAGAGGTGCCCTAATCATAAATGTTCTTACCTCAGCCCCAACCATGGTGGGGCTGAGGTGGGTGGTTCCTCAGTCTGTGAAAATCCCTCCCTGGGACACCTGTCTTTCGAATTCATGGATTCTGTTTATTTATTATAATTATTGCTGGGCCTACTAATATTATTTATGATGTGTCTAATACAATTTTCACTTTATCCTCTCAAAACAGTCCTTAAAACGTTCAGAGTGCGCTACTTCACAAGGGGGGTGTTCGTCCCCCTGGACCCCGCGGGGGTCATACGTATCTCGCATAACGGCTCCCCCCCCCCCCCACTTTCAAAATCCTGGCTACGTCCATGATTGCATATGCACGACTGAAAATGCTCGCATTGTGGAAACCCGCACTTAGAATTCACTCTCTGTGTATGTCTTTTTATTAACCTTGGATTTGTTATCGTTGTTAAGAAGAATTTTTTAAAATTTTTTTTTTTGAAGAATATACTCTTTTTAGCGGCTTCGTTGGCTTTAAATTACCATTTCGGCTGTTCACCAATCAAATATCTTGCTGTTCCCCTCGGTAAAAAGAAAGTTGAATATTCATAGATTTTTCTCATATAAAATATATTCCTATTGGATGAAAAAAATCTCACCGTCAAAACACGAATTTATATATGAATGAACAATCCTGTCTTAGCATTATGCCCGCGAAAATGCGGAGCTTTGGTATAGCCTTCCACCATTGTAAATGAATCTGCGTTGTACCACACTGTTCTTGTATCTACTGTATTGCATAAACGTGGCCAATTTCCTTTAGGTATTTCATTTTCACCTGCTACATACTCATTAAGTAATATGTTGTCAACATTTACTGAATGTTATTATTGGATTTAATGTAAATATAAACGTACACAAGGATCTAAAACACACGGTTGTAGTTTTCTCTACCAGCTGGTAAAAAACAAGAACGTACCATTATTGAACAGGTCTTGGATGGCCGGATTCAGGCTGGCTAGGATAATTTTGCGTCGCAAAATATGAATGATCATTATATCCTAAATTGTAAACTTGTTAAACTAGTACAGTAATACTGTTAATAGTAATATTTCTGACTGAAACGAAGCATAAAAAACAATGGTAGACCTATTAGTTACCCCTCATAAAATGGTCGAGTCTAAGTGATAACCAAGGCTTCTGGAGGTCACTTCGCTGCAGTGAATATGAGCCGATTAAATTTGAGTGTTTCGTTGCTAAAATGTGGCCTAAGAATCCATATGAACTTTCCGAAAGTTTCATTCAGATCCGTTAATCAGTTTTTAAAATATCTGGTCTTGGACTTTTCCTTTGAATGGTCTTCATATCCACACCCAAATCTGGATCGTCACCAAAATTTAATCATTTCTTCATTGGCCTATGATAATTCTGTTTTAGCTCAAATGATAACTTTTTTGATATATTAAGGTCTGGGGCGTTAGAACTTTAAATGACCCTAAAATTCACACCCAAATAATTTCTTCCTTAAACATTATAGAAAGTTTCATTCAGATCATTTTATCCGTTTTTAAAATATCTGGTCTGGGACGTTTTTCTTTGAATGGGCCTAACATCCACACCTACTGTTAAATATCGGTTGGTTGGTGACTTTGAATGAGTAGTATGACACAGTTCCTTTTAGTTCACTGCAAACTTTTATTAACACAAACTGTACGTTGGTTACAATCAGCTAAACTCCAGGTTTCAGATGTTAGAGAACCCTTTTAGAGTGGAGTCAGCTCGGCCCTGTACTTTTCTTCTGTGTTGAATCTAACTACTGACTACTGATCACTCTACTGATTACTGACCATTGCTGATTCAGTGATATGGGGGTGTTTGCCTATTATACTTTAGGTAATGGAGGTGTGTCTGAAGTAAGTCACCCCGTACTTTTAAAGTTTCTAATTGGATCATAGAGAAATTCTTTCTCTATGATTTAGTAACTTGTTTACCAAAAGACTACTAATTAAGATGTATCACAAACTTCAGAGCTTAGGCTCAAAACTGACAATAATAGATTCATAGTGTGAGAAAGGCCAAGTCCAACTGACTAGGGTAAAGTTATACAAAGTCCAGTTATGTTATTAGATTATCTGTATACTCAAGTTGACCATTAAAACTGTCAAACCAATTTAAGGCATTTATCAGGTGAAGGGTATCGATTCCAATGGTTATGCAAGTTAATACCATTGAACCTTAATACTACATTACACTACTCCGGATTGTCACAAAAATGTAATCATTTCTTTATATGATTACAATGGCTCGTGTGCACTATAAAGAACCCAGTACATCCTTCGAGACGAGTAGGGGGATACCCCGGTGTACTGGAACAGACAGACCCTGTGGTGGACGACGAGAGTTGCTGGTACCGGGTTACTGGGTAGCACAGACACGAAGGGACCCTTAGGGGCGAAGAAAGTCATTGATCGAGTTCCTAGTCCACATTTCAAGCGCCATGAGCATCTTACATTAGATGGATTTGTGCGCTATTTAAAACTACACTATTACTATTATTATTACTATGACAAACTATTATAGAAAGCTTCATTTAGATCCATTGATAAGTTTCTGATATATGTAGGTCTGGGGCATCAGAAATTAAAATGACCTTAACATTTGTAATCTCAATTGGATCGTTACCAAAACAATGATATCATCCTTACTTTCTTTAGGATCAGGTGATCCGTTTTGTAGAATATCGGTCTAATGTGTTTGCCTTTAAATCTTGTTAATTGGTCCTCACATCCACACCCCACTCCGGATTGTTACTAAAGTTTACGCGGCACATCTTTGGTATGGTCATGTTTGGACAAAGTTTGGAAAAGATCTAAGCATGGAAAGTGACTAAAGTGCGGGGCAGAAAAACCATGTGCAAAAAAATATTTAAAAAAAAACTATATTCAAGAAGAAAAAAAATCAGAACCAAAACAATGGCTTTTTCTGCTACTGCAAGGAAAAACCAATAATAATAAATGATTGTAAACCTTGTGGCTGATGTCAAGGAATCAATTCTTTCTTTTAGAGGTAAAAATACTGCCTCTACGCGGTGGGTGGTCAGCATAGAACCAATCGAAAAGTTAAAAATGACGGTGACTTTTTTCAAGCAATACAATTGAAACAAATAATAAAGCAATCAAAAAAGAATTGCCTTTTATATACCGAAGGGAACACAAAAATCCGGCAAGTATTAGCTGAGATACGACGGTAGAAAGACGATAAATGACCCAAAAACAGCTAATGTCGGTGCGAAATACAGCGTGAAACACTAATCCGCTAAGCTACTCTCGAACCAAGTTGCATGGAAGAAATTGTTATATGTAGGGGACGATCGAGTTGAGGGTGTAAATGTGATACCACTTCAGGTAGGGCAGAATGTAAGTACTATTTGAATCAAGGACTTATATGTGTACCAGGATAGGATGCTCGCTGATCTTCCACTGCACTGCTGACTGACTGGGGTCGTTGGTGTGTTTAGGCAAGTTCTGCACATGCTCAGAATTATTGAGAAAAGCATGATAGGATAAATAACATCTCTAGGTACTAGGTAAGTACTAAATATATGAGTAATATATTAAAGGATTGGATAATTAGTTTTTCTTAATTTTATTTGATTCATGCTCCTTTTTTGTATACTTTATACACACCGTACACGGTTTGTTGACGTGCAAGCTCACAGGACATCATCCATAAAGTCTTGATTATGTATACTCCTCTATTCGCATTATTGATGAACCAAATCCAACAAACTCAAAGAGCTTTAAGTATCTGTGAATTCTCCTATTCCCGATATAACAAACATGACACTATAACAAATCCTCTGAAACAGTTTCCCGGTAAAAGCGGACAGGAGGGATGTGGGCGTTGACAAAGACTTCATAAACCATTGACATTATCCAGGATCAAATCAACCCTGATGTTTTCTGAACCTTTAAGGAATTAGATCTTGTCTTTTTTGAATTCGTACCTGATAATATGCAACTACTAGTTTGGGCCTATCATACTATAAAATGGTCATGGTGGTTTCTAAATGTCTGACTAACAAATGATGAGACTAAATGCCTGATTAACTACCGACGATCTACCTACCTAACAGAGTGATTGACTGACTGGTTGGGTAATAAACTAACTAACTAACAATTAAACCATTTTATTTTTATACGGTAGGTTGTTACAGTGAAAATCATACCTTCAACTTCATTGAGATTCCGAATGACACATGCTTAATGGTTATAAATGCGAGTTTGGATTTTAATGATTATGATACAGTGGAATTTGGGTTCATGTCGAACGTTTCCATCGCTAACCAGCCATGTTATTTTCAACAGCAAGACAACATTATAAATGGATTGAAATTCTCGAGAATATGTAATATCTACAACGTCACAAAGGTTAATGGAGCAGCATCTGTTTACACAATGTCGATAAGACTTCACAGGAATAAAGTCGTCAGGATCAAGACCAGATTGCAAAATTCTGTTTATCGAACAGTGCTAAGCCTCTGGCCAAAGTATTTTCTGTATGAGAATAATCTCCAAATTTCATGGTGCCATTTAAAAGGTAAAGACAACAAATTATCGAATAAAAAAAGGCCACTGCAAAAAGCCTTAATCGAAGTAAGTGCACATTTCTAACAATCAACAGTAGGCCTATTCAGAATATTATGATTCAGTTTTCCTAGCGTGGCAATTATAATAAAAAGTAAACGATGAATTTGCTGAATATCTTGAGCTAAATAACTATTAAAAGGTACTGGCTATACGCACAGCGGTAGCACACCTTTAGTATCACGTGCTAATCCACGTAATTTTAAAGCTCGCTTTTTAAAAGCAATCAACAATTTTGCGGTCCTTTTATCGTGATTTTTTGCACAGAGTGGATGTGATGTTTGGCGACCTTTGATTAAAAGACTTTTACTATTGTCTTCTAGGCATAACAAAGTTTTCTATACATCGAAATAACGGGACACAGACAACGGGATCTTCAGTCCTAAGGCCAAATAAAAAACTATATAGGCCTACTTGTTTAGCGTCACTGCCCGACCGTGATTTTTGGCCCGACTCTGATATTTTGAAACTTTTTTATAAGCCCCCAAAACGTCTAAATAGGCCCGGAACTTCCGAAAAAAATGACCAAAAACGATCGTTTTTCGTATATTTTTTTTCTTGCAATAAAGAGCGCCACCAACGTTAACTTGTTATCGTACAAATAGTGGGGCCAGGGGGTCGATTCACGAGTGTGAACAGATGTTTTAAAATAGGCAAAAATGCCGTTTTTTGCTACATCTAATCGTAAAGAAAGGTCTACAGAAACCAATAAGAGATAGAATTCCTAGTATTAAGCAAAATGTATCGCTGTCTTGCCTGGCCTCGCTCGGCTTGTTAGCTGTAGGCAGGAGACCAACTACTAGGCCTACTACTATGGTAGTCCTAATAGTAGTACAGTACTGAGTAGTGGTAGTAGTAGTAGCAGTAGGTACTATTAGTAGTACTACTACTACTTCTTTCTACTACAGCCTAGGCCTAGACACTGTGAAATACACCGGTACTTGGTGTTGTACAGTTTCGGCGGCGACGAACAAGTTCGATCGCGGTGAACACATTTTGTATTAAGTTATGTTTTCATTCAAATAATTGAATGACTATTAAATATCATAATAGTAATACTGATAATTATATTAAATATGATAAATATGCGTAGGCCTATCATAATAATAAAGTTCTTAACCGTTCTGAATCAACAGAACAAGTCGCTGTCATTGACTACCACAGTAAGCTTCAACAGTGCAAAACAAAAGAAGGACCCTAGAGGGAAAAAATATGTTAGCGACTTTATATTTCACTTTCACGTTCCTTGTTTTTGTTTTCTATTTTAGTATTAGTTAACCGTCTAATTACTTACTGATCTTCTCTTTTACATTCATTCTATGCTTCCTTAACTTTCCGTGATTCCTATTTACCTACCTTTTCTTTCTTTAGTCTCCCTTTTCCTTTTAATTACCTTTTCTTTCCTTTCCCCTTTCTTTCTAATGCCTCCTTATGCATTGTTTAGCTTAAATTACCTTTGTAATATTTCCTTATCTTTCTTCCTTTTCTTTGTTTCCTATGTAACCTTGATTTTTCTTGTATTTACTTTATTTCCTGTTCTTTCCTTTTCATTTCTTATGCTTTTTCATACATATCTCATTTTATTTTATCTTATCGTTTCTTTCATATCCTGATTCTTTCTTTCTTGTCCTTTTCTTTCTTTTTACCATTTCTTAGGTTGCTTTGGATAAACTTTCTTTTTCTTTCTTATAATTCGTTCTTTTCATTCCTTTTTCTTTTTTATATTTACTTTTCTTTTCCTTCATTTTCTTTTTTTTGGTTTTAGTTCTTTTTTACTTTTCTTTCATTCTATTTTTTCCTTTATCCTTCCTTCCATTTAATTAATTCCTTTCTTATAATTCCTTCTTCTCATTCTTCCCATTTCTTTCTTATACCTTTTCATAGGTGTCCTTGAGTATCCTTTCATTTTCTTATGATTCGTTCTTTTCATTCCTTTTTTCCCCTTATATTTATTTTTCTTTAGTTTTCTTTCTTCTCGTTTTAGTTCTTTCTTTTCTTTTCTTTCATTCTTTCTTTCTATTTTTTCTTTTACCCTATCATAGGGGTCCTTGAATATCCTTTCCTTTTCTTTCTTATGTTTCGTTCTTTTCTTTCCTTTTTCTTTCTTATTTCTGTTCTTATCATTTCTTTCTTTATCTTTCTTTCATATAATTATTCCCTTTCTTTTCCTTAGGACAATTCATATGTTTATTTGCCTTTCCTTTCCTTTCTTAAGTTCCTTTCTATTCTTTCCTTTCTTTACTATATTATTTTACTTTTCCTTAACTTGTCCTTTGCTTTTCTTTGCCTCTTTCTTTTCCTTTTTTTTTCTCTTTTCCGCTTTCCTTACCTTTTTCCTTTCTTTCCAGTCATTTCATTTCAATTCCTTTTACTTATCTTTTGGCTTTCTAAGCAGTCAGTCCAAATGTCATGCAGTGAGGGATAAAAAGAAAAGAAAAGAAAATCAATAGACAACATATCTTGTAAACAGTCAGCCAGAGGCTAACAACATCCATTGAAGCTATCTTTGATGAACTGGCTTCTTGACACGCCAGAAAACTTAACGGCTTTATCAAGAATAGAGGGTGTTAACCTACCTTTTCTTTTTTTCTTAGAAACATGAAATGCCAACATTTTACAAGGGTGATTGTTTTCACGCCTGATAATGTGTGAGCACCACTTTATTTGTTGAGCCTGATAGAAGTCATTTATTGATGAAGTTTTGGTTATCGAGTGTAGCTCATCAGGGGCGGATTTAGAGGGGGCTAAACAGGCCTTAACCCCCCCCCACTAAAATTTCATAGCCATTTCTTTTTAACTGCTTTTTGAAGGTCCGAATTAAAATATTGTTTAATGTTTTCTTCACACACATCATATTTATTTTACAGTAGTTGTTTTTCAGTGATAAAATAAAAATGAAATACCTTTTTTAACCGATCAGCGGACAAAAAACGTAGCTAAGAAAGCTTCTTTTGCCTTGCCTTCATGCTCAAATCTCGAAGCAAAGGCCGTTGTGTAGCGGTCTTAACGTTTGTATAATACACTAAACTTTTCGTGTCCCGCGGGTTTGTTCTTGTCTAGTCTTTCCATGATTGCTTGCGGTCAGAGGTATTTGAATGTTTGTAAATAAACTATTAAATAATAAACTAAAATTTTCGTGTCGAGCGAGTCGTTCTTGTCTAGTCTTGTCTTGATTGCTTGTGGTCAGAGGCAGGTATTTAAACGTTTGTATGATACACTAAACATTTCGTGTCGAGAGTTGTGTTCCAGTTCAGTTTTTTCTTGATTGCTTGTCGTCGGATACTTCTACTACATTTAAAACATATTTTAAGGGGAATTCTTTTGTCGTCTCAGGTTCTCATTGTCAAATTTTACCTTTAGGGACAGTATTTTTATTGTGGAACTGTATTCACCCTCTTCATTGTCTTATGTTCCCCATGGCAACCCTTTCACCAGGATTTTTAAAGAATGGTGAAACTTCAGAAAATGTCCTCAAAATTTTAAGGGTGGTGCACAAAATTCTAAAGGGTGGATACAAACAATTGCTATTTTAATACATAGCAAGTGACACGCTAGTCTGTTTATTGACTTTGCATTTGCATTAATATTTTTTTGAAGCGTGGTTCCAATATTTTAAGCATGGCGTATAATTTGCCTTTTTAATATTTTTATTTAAATTATGTTGTTTCTGTGAGTATCCTACATGAAAAGATATTTTTATCTGCCATTAAAGATCCTAGTTAATCGTTTTTCATATTATTAATTTATTTACATATATTCTTTTTATAATAATGATTTACTATAAATATTGTTTAACATTTACGGAAATAAATGTTGTTTAATGAATGAATAATTATTCAAATCCATTTATACTTGACAACAACAACTAGGCATCAGTTATTATTTTTAATGGTGTTTACCACATATTTCTTCTTCAATTATATACAGATACTAAATAAAAGCTCCATTGTACTAGTATATTTATTCAGTTTGTTTTCAACGTAGTACTATCAGATTGTTTTGAAAGCTTAATGCAGTCACTATAACAATATTCGAATTTCACAAATTTCGACTTCTGGAGGAATTCAAAATCAAAGTGTTGGAGCCCATTATTATTTCTTTATATAAGTATATATATATATATATATATATATATTATGTAAAAAATTTAAATCCAATTCGGCTTTGTTCAAACGAAGAATAATCTTTTCATATTTTCTTAATAAAGAAACTGGTAATCTTCTTGAACTGAAATCCTTGATAATAGAACCAAATGGACGTAAGTTGACAAAAAATACAACGCATTTTAAAAATAACACAAAAGATTTAATAGAAGACATGTTTCGGGTTACCTTCAACCCATCATCAGTTAACAAAAAACACAACAGAAATGAACCAAATACTTTTCATGTAGACTATATGTTATTATATGTAATTATTATGCTGAATGTTAAATAGATAGATTGATTTGTTTGACAATAAGTTTGACCAACTATAGTAACTCTGAAATCTGGCCTAAATGTAGCTAATTTTTATTCTGAATATATAATTGAATACCGTGATTTGTTTAACCAAAGGTTAGTGAAGCAATAGTAAGTCTGTAATATGGACCAAGTGTAGCTAATTATTATGTAGAATATATAATCAGGTACATTGATTTGTTTGACAAAAGGTTGTGAAGCTATAGTTAAATGCAAGGTAACAAGTGCTTGCATAATAACTATTGCTTACGTGTATATTTAAATAAGCTTTAAGTTAACATGCTTAATTTGCAAATTAAGATCAGGATTGTTCCATTTTATGTAAAGGGATTCTTTGATTTTCAATTTGATTTCATTGTTATCAATATCCAGTATAGAGAAACATTTCTTATCAGAAAACCTTTAAATTTCTGTTTGCGTTAAGGTGTTTAAGTACGTGTGAATTTTTATTCTTTCCAAGATGTTCACCAATCCTCGTAATTAATCTACGGCCTGTATAGCCTATATAACTGGAATTACATCCAGCACATTTAAATTTATATACTACTGAGGATCGGGATTCATTGGGGATAGTGTCTTTAGTACTAAAGAACTGACTGATTTTAGTGGTACTAAATATCACATGTACTTTACAATTACCAGTTTCTTTATTAAGAAAATATGAAAAGATTACTCTTCGTTTAAACAAAGCCGAATTGGATTTTAATTTTTTACATAATTGCAAGGCATTCGGAGTTTTTCCTAAAAA